CGGCAAGCATTGAATTGCCGCTAGAATCCATGCCGAGTATAGAGTGGTGACCTGCCTCGGTGGTTGCGGTGCTGATCAATTTACCAAAGACTTGACCTGCAGTTGAAAGCGTTAAATAAATAAGCAAATATTTTCATATTCTCAACCCCCACCCTCTCCCCCCCCCTGGAATGAGGAGAACTCACCCGTTATTAGCCGGAATACGCGCAATGTCTCAGCCTCACAGATTTGTTGTTGTATGCGCACTGCATTTGTTAGCTTCAAATTGGATTTGAGTGTGTGCAATTGACCTACTGTTGCGCCACTATTCCCACCCGCACTGCCCGTTGCTTGTAGTCCACCATATTTCTCGTTCAATTGCTCATCCAATCCGCTCATGACGCTCGGTAGCCCAAGTAATTTGATTTGACGAACACGCAATGTGTTCTCTGGTCCATGAAACTCCAAGCGAAAGTGTGTGTACGACTCGTTTGTGATTTTGGCGGATATCCAAGCGCACGCTTTTGGATCAACGTCCACGGATTTGATTAGATTTGTATCACCCAGCGATTGGCCAGCATAAAATACAACATTCAACACCTTGTTCTAGAAGGAAAAGTGCACAATGCATTGTAAAAAAAAAAANTTAATCTAGGCGGGCATACAACAACTAATAGCCTATCTAGGCTATCTACTTTTACCTCCAAAAATGCTCTAAATGAGAAACTTTTGATTGCAAAAAGAAATTTTTTCTGAGCAGAAAAAGATGTATAAACAATTTTGGACGAGGTTTCCTAAAGTTGTAGCGTCTCCTTTGAGTAAGGAGCATGCTGACCGAACCTATGGCCACGGGAAGAAGCCCAAGTAATTGGAAACTGAGCCTCCTCTTACGCACAACAAACATATTTTTCACACTGTATGGATAGGCAATTGACACCTTCATCCAGTGTCGCTCTTTTAATACCACCTTAGTGGTCAACCACTACTAAACTCGCACATATGTGTGTGTGGATGAATTGAGAAGAGCACTTAAAGACCTACAACTTCGACGGTGGCGTAACCAAGTTTTTGCCTTCTATCAGACCTTTATCCAACACGACGAAGGACAATGACCGGATGTATACCACACTCGGTGATTGTGCCATGTCGAACCCGAAGAATTTCGAGAGCTTAATTATCCTATAATTTAAATTGCAATCTTTGGCGGACAAATCACAACAATATGTCTCCACACGGCAGCGTGAACCGCCAACACCAGCGCAACATTTGCGTTCACCAGTGACAGTTCTGCTGGTAATCGAAGCCGTTGGCCAGAGTGGTCTAATGCCTTATGGGAAGTAGGTTTCAGTAGCTTTCTTTGAATTATCTCTGTCTGAGTGGACGAAACTCATCGATATATTGCAAGATCAATCCAGAAACAGAGAAGAATTAAAAGGGAGTTCCGCAGTTTAGGGTACTCTCTCCAATGCTGTTGGATTTCTATACATATGTATGTATATCGAAACTCCCTCCAGACCTAATTCACCCAACTACTCGATTCTGACAAGCTATCAACAGCATTGACCGAGAGACAATCACCAACATTACAAACTGTCGCCCCGTAAATGACGTCATCGGAGTTCAACGGAAGAAGAAGCCTTCACCAGCCTCGCTAGACCCATGTAACTCTGGCGCAACTAAGTATGTTTACTGCAACTGACTTTACTCTCACCCACCCAGACTCGGCGCCAATATACCCAGCACATGCCTTCCTTACACGAGGACTAGGAGTTGTTTTATTGATCTAGGCAAAAAAAAATAGAACTAACTTCCAGGCGCTGACACCTGAATCGCTCACCATAGTTGTTGTTCAAGACATTGTACTTATTGTTAGTCTACTTAGGACTGCTTTCACTGTTACAAGCGAGCGTAAACTCGTCACCATGAAAACAGTTCATATTCTTAAAAACTAAATTCATCACTAACCTGTATATCCCGGCTATTGTCGATGTGCACCAAAACCACTTTGCACGAATATGACAACTTATTCATCGATATTTCAATGATCTTGCATTTGTTGCGATCCTCCTCATCACTTTCCCAAAAAGTTTCGGTCGAATTATCGGTCAACGATTCGGCCATGGCCTGACGCGATGACACTGTCACCTCAAACATGCCATTCAAATCGGAGTAGCATATAATTTTAGCACCTGCTGGCGGGCCACCTGCAACACCCACAACCGCACCACCGCCACCACCACCACCACCACCACCAACGCCTCCAACACTCTGCAAATTATGTTCCACATCATGCATGCCCGTTGAGTTGCCACCACCCTCCACTGCTACCGCACCAGCCATGCCCATGCTCGATACAGCCATAACATCATCTTGCTCATCGGATTTCGAAAGTATCTTCGAAATATTACCGAATACATGCGAATTGTGTAGAAATTGATGATCCGTTTGGCGAAAGCGTATGCCGAAGCATTGTATGGCGATGCGTTGCAATGGTGAGCCAAGTGGCAAATAGAGTGTGAGATCGGCAACGGATTGTAGGAAAACGTGCAAACTTTGCGTAATTAAATGCGAGAAACGACCACTGATCTGCGTGTAGGTGACCGGGTGCTCCAGTGCTGGTTCAGCATCTTCGTACTTGCCATCGATCATCTCAATTGCCGAAATAGTCAGCGAACTAACAAACCACCACATCAGATCGTGCAGACAGATGCTCTGTGTCACCGAACGCAGCAGCCAATTGAGTGCTTGTAGCGAATAAATGCGGCAGGCGGCAATGCGTAGACTGCGTTTCATGGCATAGCGTAGTTTCTCCAAATCATGTTTTTGTGTAATAAATGCCATGGCCGGACGTTGGAGTAATACGTTCACCTGTTGTGACAACTCCAAATCTAGCAAAGTGGATGATGAGTCCTTATCGCGCACACCGCTGGGCTTTAAAGTGACATTACCAGCCGAATAGTTATATTCTTTGGTCTTGACGCCACCACATTCTGTGTTCATTGGCTTTTCATCGTTTTCATTACTCTCCCTCTCCGGTTGTTCGAATGAATGCTGCTGCGACTTTGTTGCACCTACACCGCCAACATCTGCATTGACCAGTCGCTGCACGGCTGGATGGACAATAGAGCTATTCAATATGCTTTCTGGCACGAGGCGGCGCAAGTTCTCCGATGGATAGCAGATAAGTAGAGCGCCATCACTTTCGCTTGTAGAGTTGTTGCGTCGTCTAAAGACAACCTTAGTTTGCTGCGCTTCATCAGCGTTGGCGGCGACGTTTTTCAATTGGAATGTTCCTTGCTGCTGGGCTACGGCCCAGCCTTGACCCATCGAGAAGCTGCGATGGAATTTAGATAGAGTACCTGTATTAGATCCACCGCCTGTACCAACACCAGGCTGTGTGCTCATTGAGCCCGTCATTATTTCGTAGTTATTCGGATCGCAGGACTCGTAAGACATTTCAGAGAGAGGCTGTAAAGATGGAGTTAAGGTTATGAAACACATTACATGCCTATGCCTAAGTAATAACAACGCTTCGACTGCATCGATTCCCTTACCCTATCGAATCCATTTTCAGTTGTATTCAAGCCAAACATTTCATAGGGCAAGTCCTCGTTGTTAGTAACCCCCAGAGACTCTAAGCAAGCAAACGTTTCTGGTGCCAACCATATGTGTTCGGGTGACGCAGAGCTGCCTACAAAACTTTTGCGATACGGTGTGGAACCTATGAAATGAAAATATAAAAAATAGACAACATGTAAATATGGAAGTCTAGTCCACAGCTCCCTGCGGAATTTACAGCCCAATACTTACTGCCGAATTTCCCACTCATACGCAAACCAATACGACTATTCCGCGCCGAATCGCCACGACTAGTGCTCGGCTTATTTAAATCGGTCATATTGAAGTGTTGGTGTTCAATCACAACGGGCATTTGTTGCGGCGACCGTTTATTGGATGCGCCCAAATTTAGTGAATTCATGCCAGCAGCAGCACTGTTGCCTGTGGCATTCAAAGTGGATGNGTGGAAGGCTAGTCCACAACTCCCTGCGGAATTTACAGCCCAATACTTACTGCCGAATTTCCCACTCATACGCAAACCAATACGGCTATTCCGCGCCGAATCGCCACGACTAGTGCTCGGCTTATTTAAATCGGTCATATTGAAGTGTTGGTGTTCAACCACAACGGGCATTTGTTGCGGCGACCGTTTATTGGATGCGCCCAAATTTAGTGAATTCATGCCAGCAGCGCCACTGTTGCCTGTGGCATTCAAAGTGGATGCGCTTGAAGAGAGCTCCAACAAGAAAGTGGCATTCTCACGCATGGTTGTATAAATTTCGGAATTCGCGATGAGTGTAGTAGTTTTTACGCCAAATAAATTCATTTCATTCGCTGAGAAGAAAAGAAAAAGGCAATTCGAAAATATTATACCAAACACAAATTCTGAACTTTTCTCACCCGTAAGTGTCACTCCCGGTACGCTATTTACGTTGTTTACATTCTTATTCGCTGCTATATATTTCTCTCTGCATTCGTCGCACATCAGAAACCAGCTGGATGCACCCTTACCACCTTCCCCACAATTGCCGGCCCAGCCTTCGCAGAAAATGCCCACCGAATTATAACCTTTGCCCTTCGCGGATTTGCCACAACCAGGATGTACGATACGCATGTGGTATGTCACGGGTATCGGCAAAAATACTTCACACACCTCACACCATGAACCATCGTCCTTTTTCTTACGTCGCGATTTCTTCACCATGTCTCTATCGTTCGACTCTTGCTTTTCCTTGGCTTCGGCGCTCGGCTCCCGTGTCGGTGTGCCACCGCTTGCCTTCTCGCGCTCCACTATATTCGATTGCATCACTTGCACGCAGTTGGTGCACACCTGCTCCCATAGGTAGACGAGACAACGCAGCGCAGGCGGCAGCACAGTCACCACTTCGGACAGCGTGTGCAACTTCTGCTTCTCACCACTCTCTAATTCCTCGCCGCCACTACCAGCACCGGAGGCGACTGCTAAATTTTTCCGATGCTTACGGTTGTTCACCGACGAATTTCCACTCTTCGTAAGTGTCTCCAGCGTGGATGGTCTGATGTTCAAGTATGTACCCGCATTAGCCACCTCCACAGAATGGCGCTGTTGTGCTTTTTGCTCGCGTGACAATTGCAGCCGACTGTCCTTCGAATCGCGCCTGGTCACAACTGTTGCGCCCTCTTTGGGTAGTGTTGGATGGAATTTCAAGAAGCTAGCGCAAGCCATAGCGTCGTGTACGAGTCCTTCATGCCAGAGGAAAGCAGCAAATACCGCGCGTATGCTTTCGGCCAACGATGGTGGCATGGCACGCTTGATGGGCCCAATGGCACTGCGCTTATTGGGCGACGGTTTGGTTGCGGAAGTCGCTGCATTAAGTGAAGCGTTATTCTGATTTAACGGTGGTGGCCAGACGGCCGGGCTCGAGTCGTCCGTACTTGCGGTTGTGCTGGCTGTCTTCATTTCACCAAATAAGATCTGATCCTGCGTGATCACGCCGCCACCATTGGTAGTCGTGGTAATATGCAACATGCTCATATCATCTTCAAGTTGCGCCAAATCTGGTTCCTTATGCGCTGCAGTACCCTCAACACTGCGGTTGGAAGGTGATGTATTGCGACGTAAACTGGTCACTAATTTGCGAGGCGAATGCTTTGGTGTGGAAAGCAAAGCTGCTGTTTGCGATGGCGTGAAGCTGGTGACCCGAATCGTAGATATATCAAAAGTAGGTGTAGAATTTTCTGGCTGCATAGCTTCTTCCTCCTTCGTGTTCTTCTGTGAGTGACTTGAATCTTGCGTAAGCGAACTGAATAGACCCGAAGTTTCTGATGCCTCCGTAGATTTTATGCTTACGCTTATCGAATCTGTTGAACCCTTACCGCTAGCGGCTGGTATCTGAACAGGACTAGAACTTTGTGGCGCATGCGTAGTATTACCATTACAACGCGTATCCTGCTGTCCGCCCATTACACGCACTAGCTCCCGCACCGATACCGATGACAAGCCTTCTGCGGCATCTGAACGTTTGCGCTGATGTTCTTTAGCTGGTGAGGGTGGTCCGCCACCAGCAGCCCCAGATCCTGCGCCCTCAAACGCATCACCTTTAAACCATTTTTGTAACGCTTGCAGTTTAATGGCGCCACCGCCAACAACACCGGCAATGGCCGACCCGATCTGTGAAGGACTTGTGTTTTGTAATGAGTGTAAAGACAAGAGATCGGCTTGTTGTTGTTGTGCTTGTTGCTGCTGCTGTTGGGACGACGATGAGGTGGTGCTCGTCTGTGTCGAAGACTGCATATCAAACACTTTTTGTATTTCACTGTCCTCCGATTCAGATTTTTCAACACTCGGAAACAGAAACGGATTTGTTGAGGCGTGTGAAATATCCGAAGACTTCGGAGGCGTAAAGCGGCCATGTGAGAAGTCGAAAATTTTCTTGCAGGGTGACGTGGATTTCGACTTCGATGGTGATTCGATTGGTATCGGCGAAACGGGCGACTCAGCATTGTCTAGCAAAACTTTGTGGTGAGGCTTAGACAGCGACTTTCCGCCCCCGCTGCCACCAACCTGCATTGCGGTGGAAGTACCAACACCTACCGACACATCTGTGCCACACGTGCCAGCAGTGGTAGGGGCTGTAGTAGTAGTTGCCGCCGCATTTGCTCCTGCACTATTCGAACTCGCCTCAGAGACGGGATGCAGCAATGTCCTGCCAAAGTGCTGATTATATTGCAAACACCATG